AGGATGCTCATGGCATCAAATTTTACGGTAGCACATTCTCCCTAAAATACTGATTGATATCACATTATGTTTGACTTTAAAGGTTCAACAGTTAATTTTTTATTTTTCTTGACTATTATTTTTGTCATTTTGGTACCTCGAGTATGAAATCAGAATTTCTCAAAAAGAAAAGACAAAAAATTAAAGTAACAAATTACAATTTACAACATGATGATTTCTAGAAGGATATTTAATATATAATGGGGAGAACAAAAAACATTCCAGGGAATTTGGGAGGGTTTTAAGGAGTAGAAGAAAAAACTTAGCTGCCACAGAAAACACATAAAGTTTCACTTTGCTCTCTCAAATTGAACCAAATAGGTCACGCGCAACAATTGAAAATGATTTAGGGTTCAGACAGTTATCATACCAGACAAATTGATGCAACTGTATCTTATGAGAAAGCAGCGTAAAATTAAGTACTCAACTTTTTGGGAGGTTTGCCTCTTATTTTGAAAGAATAGGATTAAGAAAAAGCTACACTAAGGCATCATATCTTAACAGCCTTACCTGCAGCCTTGAAGGATTATACATAGGAATTGTGAAGGTCATGCTCACTGGCCCAGCTTCCTTTGTAATATTTCCTGTGTTTTAAGTAACAGTTTTACGAAACATCAGAAAGATTGATTTGCAGGAGAAATACAGAAAACCAGAATATATGGTCATGCAAGGATATTAGACATGAAACTATTGAAACTCTAGAACCATACCATGCAACTCTTGTGAAAAATTCAATTTTGCACGTAGTGTGTGTTCAGAACCTCCCACAATCTGTTAGTTAAAAAGACACAAGTTAGTCTTTTCTTTTTCTTTTTTTTTTTTCCAGCAAAAGTGATTTTAAGAATTAATCTGTTCTCAGAAGTGATCAAGTAGCAAGAGATATAGTTGTGCCTTCTTCACACTCCATTCAAGTTTTCTCTGTGATTCTTTGAAATCAGCACTCTGCCCAGCTATTCCACGTTCCAAGTCAAAATTGACCCTGAAATTCAATTGCAGGATAATAAATTGTTCGGAATTTCGTAACACAAAGAGCAAAAACAAATGCATAAGATACATGTTTGGTTCATTTTCTATAACTCGGGCCAAGCATATTAATAACTATTTTAACATGCACTACTTTCCAGGTTTATTATTGCAATATTTTATTATTTATTATATTCTTTCATCTTTCAATTTTTGGGGACCCAAATGTCTGGAAGCAAGACAAGCACCAAATGCAAATTTCAATTTCTCAGATGGGAGTGTTATCTCAGCATATATTACTGAAACAAAAAGAAATCCTGAAACTATGTAGCGGCGAGTCCTTAAGTAAACTAAGACATCTGTACATAATTAAAATATCAAGAGAAAGTAATTGATCCCTTAGTAGGAAGGTTCTTCAGTTCGAAGCTAAGTATATTGAATATCTCCAACACATTTGACAAGGTTGAAAATTTTCTACTTTATTTTATTTTATTTATTTTATTTTTTGTCTAGAGAAATCTTGAACATGCTAGCAAAATATACATCCTGAAATGCTTCCTAGCTCAATACATGTCAAAAAGAACTGGGAAAACTTAATAAGTTTCTGATAGGATTTGACAATTGAGATGCCACAAGACTTTGAACGTCAGTGACTTTTAGAAGCTCTACAATTCATTAATTGACTAAAATTTCATGAATTGATCATTGACCCCAAAAGCTTTGAGGTATCCATGTGGAGAAAAATATATTAGGATCTAAATGCTAAAACTGAAGTCCCAGAAGAACATACGAGACAACAATTAATACAAACTTATTTTAGAACAAACAAATACTGTCAAAACTGAATCTTACCTGGTTGTACATGCAGGCAATGGCATTTCTACTAAGATTGTGTTAGCTGTAATACTTGAAGGAAACTCGGCACGGATTTTCAGAATCACTTCAGCCTAATATGGCCCACAAAAGGAAAAAAAATAAAGGAAAAATGAAAAGTAAAATTAGGTTGCCAGTTCCATGCTTCAGAGATAAAAATTTAAAAACCAAGCTGAAGCAGCTGCCACTAAAATTGGAAGTTGAAAGGAAGAATCTTGGAAACACTCATTGCTATTATAGAGATACAAACAGTGGCCAATAAAGCCTTTATACATCTCACAAATTAATACAAGTTCTACATCAAAATATCTTAGTTGTCAGATAACTACAAACCTTAAGTGTCCCTGCCTCTTCAATTAAGGTATTGACGGAAAACGGGGGCTTGAATTCCTGGGTAATACGATAATTCATGACAGGAAATTCCCCATCTGGTGGTACCTAATAACCCAACGTAAATAATGAAACAATTATTTTAAATTTTAATCGGAGAAAAGCAGCAGAAGACTTTAAATTGATGCGAAAGATTGTAAACATCATGCAACGCTCACCAGACTCAGTGTTCTGTCAACATCAAAACTATCCATATGTACAGATTCGTGAAAATTGCAATCGTCCAAAATAACTGGTCCTGTCCCAGATGAACCACTATAGCCTGAGCATGAAGCAAATTTTGTCAAGTTAAATAACTTTCACAGCTAAGGCACAGGGTTGCCACTCAATTATAATGAGTGGCCTCCAAAAATTCTCAGTTAGCACAAACATAATATATTTGCCACATCAAAAAATAACAACAAAACAAGGTCATGTACTGCAGAATAGATAAACCATGTCAATACCGTAATTTGATATGCCACTCTTTCCAATGTATAGATCATCATTGAGAGCTAATCTGATCTCTGGGTTTCCAGTTAGATAACTCTTCATTTGGATAGTGCCATCAATTTCAGAAGTCAATACATACCCCTGTTTAGCATCATGTCAATCTTGGCTGAATTCAACCGTTTCATGAAATTATATTCAACACTGTCAAATGACCAAAGGTCACATGAATAATGCATAATTATTGTAGAGAGAACAAGAAGGACAAGAATAATTTTCCAATCCATTCTTTACCCACCAAACAAAAACTATACTATCCACCCATCTCACTTTTCTCAATTTTCTCCACTTACGCTTATCAATGCTTTTTAAAATTGAAAACCAATCATTACTATACATTTATCTATAAAATTTTACCATCTATCCACTCACATATTAATAACTACCAATCATTATTTTGCTATTTTCCTATCACATCAAAATTTATTACTCTTTACATCCAAAAAATTATTAATTCTTCCACTAACTTTCTTCCATCCACAATTTTCTTTAACTCAATGCAAGCATATCCAATCGCAACCTAAACCCATATTCTCTCCCCATCCCAGGTACGCTAGCAGCTCAAATTCCTAACAAATAACTGAATATGCTCCAGGGAACGTTCATTTGGGGATGTAGGCCTGAAGATGGGAGAAATACCACATAATTTCCCAAAGAAAATCAAATGATAATTCTACCACTTAAGACCACCAGAACTTGGATGCATTTAAACTGATTTTCATCAACACAAGACAATCCCAACCCATTAGCCTCGGTTAGCATTATGTTACATTTAGTAAAACTAAAAAAACAAAAAGTTAATTTCTAGAATAAGAAGGTAAGATAAGATTGTCTGCAGCAAGTTCCAAACCAACACAAAATATATTAGTAGAAAAATGCAACTGACTTGGAATAACAGGATAGGTAAATTTGACACCATCACTTACACTAGAGCTAAAGGTGACGCTTATTTTCTCTATTATATCAACAAAGATTTCCTCCCTTTTCCTACCCCCAGGTTCATTTGCAACAACAGATTTTGTAACAGCTGTCCCTGGCATTCGTTTGTTTCCTTGCTGCATTAAGAAAGAAACTTATGCTCATCATGATAGAACATAATTAAATCAGCTCAGATTGAAGAGCAAATTAAAGAATACAAACAGAAAATTAACCATAAAATAGGCTTATGCTACTGTGGATGTATTTTAAATAATTTAATACCATAAATAGGGCTGCAGGACCAAGGGGAGGCATGCGTGCAGCATCAACCACAATTGGTTCATTGAATACATAAGACTTCAATACTTCAGTAGATGTTGTTTGAACGTATCCAAAATCCTGTATGTGTAAAATACACACAGAACAGAACAGTAAGAATGTTATTAATGCAATAGATACACCGATGCCCATAACTGATTAAATGGGCAGTGATAAAAGAAGCACAAAAAATTCAGTTTTGATGAAGGTGGATAGGTTGATATGTCGCATATATTACATATATAAGTCTATGATAACATATAGATGCTGAAAGATGGATAATTACATACATATCATCCATTAATGAAAAAGAATAAAAACTAGAAAGATGTTACCAAGCTATAACAGTCAGAAACCAATGTAATATCACATGACAATGCATTGAATACTTACTATAACTTCATCAAGCAGTTCATACACAAGAACAAAATTTTTCCGCAAAGACTCCTCACTAAGAACACCAAGGTAATCTTTGATGACACGTGCAATTCTCTGCAGAAGCTCCAAAGCTAAGGAAGGGGACAAGCTGACCCTTGTGGTTGCAACAAAAAGCAGGCCAACCACCTTCACATGAAAGTAGTTTACACCATCTAGATTCTGTTGCGCAAGACGTAAATTCAATAAAGTTAGTTCAATCTTCAGATATTTCCCATGACAGGTCATTCGAAGAAATAAAAAGTGATGATAACAGTGAGAATTCTCAACAATACATATAGTCCACTCTTTACAGCAGAAATAAATACCATTTAAAATATTATCTAAGTGAAGACCAAACTTTTATGTTTCTATTTCAGGCAATAATATGGAAATGCCAGAAAGATCATGCTAACTCAGTGTTGAAAGAATCAAATAAAACGTTTTCTGTTAAATACCCACAAATACAGGAGGTGCTTCCTCTTTGCCATCTTCTTTCCAGAACTTCACTTTGCGAAAAAATATTTCCGCACTTCCTTTCTGTACATCTCCACGATCTGTATAATTGTCACATTAGGTGTCCCAGGAAGAATAAAATAGGAAAAACTTGCAATACAATCTATCATTCTCCACCAAAACCAAATCAGTCAAAAGTGACAGAACATTTTTATTCCAACAATTTTGGGGTTTTAAGAGAAAGACTGATTGCAATCAGTTTACTATATTCCCATTCACAAATTACAGTAATCCACACATGCTAAGTAGGAAGTCTTGATACCACAAACGACCAACAATTGTTTATGCAGTTTCTATCACTAGATTTAGTAACGGTGACGCCGTTCTGATGCAAGGTTAACATTACAGATCTACAGACAAATGAAAAATCGACAATGCTCAATCTAAAAGAAAAAAAGAAAAAATAAAAAATAAAAAATCGGACCACGTCTAGAAAAAGGAAGAACACGAGTGAAGTCGTCTTCACTGAGCAAGCCCAATAGAATGAAAATCCAACAAGTTCGATATCAAAAGTAAATTGGGCAAGTGTACAGAATTTCGGCATCATCTCAAAACAGTAAGGTGTAAAAATAAGGGAACTTACAGTCTCGAAAGACGATATTATCGCCTCTCTGTGAAAGCACGAAGAACTGAGAGATCATGATGAATTCGATCAACAACTATCACCACAAAGAGCTCTTGCTGGTTCAATCCTGGATCGAGTATCGGTTAAAAATTCTGATCTTCAATACAAAAGAGAATTGCAATTTGCCCCCTCCTATTATGTTCTTTTACACAGTGTACCCACCATATATAAAACCCAGGGACGGATCTAGAAAATTTAATTGACCAAATAATTTTCAATATAGACATACTTCATTAAAAAGATAAAGTTTCATTATCTTCCTCAATCTGATCAAGTTTTCTTTTGAAAAACGAGTCTATTCTTGATGACTTTGACATATCCTAAAAATAAAAATAATCAAATACGCATGAAGAAAATCAATAATCCAAACAAAAAGTAAAGAACCAGTGAAAAAACAATAACTTGTTTCACTTCAACAGTGCTGTGAAAAGGTTGGAAATTTAGTTAGTCCATGACAAGCTAAAATGCAAAAGGAGCCCACAGAAACGGATAAAAATATAACATCTCTTGACCAATAAAAAATTCATACAAATCCAGCTGAAGATGGAAAAAATCAACAGCCAATTCCTATCAAGACCTCCAGCTATACACAGAAAAATTGGGGAAAAAGCAACTGAAGCCAAAAAAGGATTGAAGAAATCACATATTCACATCTGAAATCAAGAATCTAAACACCCCCCAAATTAGTCAACAAAGAATGACACAATTAACAATAAAATTAATATTTAAAAAATAGTATAAGCCTATATATGATTCATGTATTAGAAATTGATATAAGCCTATAATGATCTAAGCTAGAGAGGATAAATTAAGACATTTAAGAATGATGAATAAATACACACATTAAGTGCTAGTTTTAAACCCTAAATCCCTAAAAAGGATAAATAAATCTAAGCATGAACATGAACATAAATTAAAGTACTCACAAATATGAAAGGATGACCAAATACTCAGAAGAATCAAGGAATTGTTGAGTATATTTGCTGTTGCAGATTTTTTTTTTGTGCTTGCCTCTTGCCTGCGAGAAGGGAACTGCGAGAGAAGAAAACTCTGTTTGTGTTGCGAGTGGACCTGCGGTCATGTGCTGTTGCTAGATTTATTTTTTAAGTTAATTAAATAGTCTTGATTAGCTTGATTAAATATTAATAAAGATAAAATATAATATTATAATACATAAAAAGTTGAAAGTTGGGTTGGGTTGTTTTAGATTGGTTAAATTTGAAAAAGTTTGTATGGTTAGTTGTTAGTGGATATATTAAAATAATATTTAAAATTAAATTGATGTAAAAGTATGAGAGAAAAGATGTGATGTGATGGTTAGTTAAAATTGTTGTGTGTAAGAATGATTGCTTGATATTATTTAATTATATTGATAATATTGATGACAGTGTGGTTGAGTTAAAGTTGAGTTAAAAAGGGTGGTACTATTTACCGCCCCCCATTTTACTAGTCACCACCCCCCTTGGACGATTTTGCCCTTTTCATTTTTCTAAACATCTCAGAGGAAAGTGTACGGTGAAATGTCGTCAAATTCGGAGGTACGAAATTTTTTGTGTCCGGCCGCCGGAACAGGACGAATTTTAAGCCGTCTGGCCGGCCGGTTCGGACGGGTTAAAAGCCGTCCGAAAAGGCCGGTCGGTCGGACGGGCTATGTCCGAACCGGCCGGCCGGACGGCTTAAAAGCCGTCCGAAAACGACGGCCAGTCGGAACCGGTCCGTCCGGTTCGATCGGCCGGACATATTTTTTTTTTTAAATTATTATGTTATATATTCGAAATAATTATGTTATAAATTGGACTATATTATTATGTTATAAATTATTATGTTACATTTTAGACTTGATTATGCTATAAATTGGACGTCTATCGTGTTCGAAGTTACAAATTATTATGTTATATGTTGATTATAATATAAATTGGACGTTAGATATTATCCTGTTACGAGTTAGAAATTATTATATTACATGTTAGTCTTGGTTATGTTATAAATTGATGTTAGATAGTATCGTGTTAGGAGTAACAAACTATTGTGTTACATGTTATAGTTGATTAAATTATAAATTGGACGTTAGATATTATCGTGATCGTGTTAGGAGTTACAAATTATTGTGTTACATGTTAGACTTCATTATGCTATAAATTGGACGTTAGATAATATCATTATGAGTTACAAATTATTATGTTACATTTTAGAATTAATTATCTCAATTTAACATGTTCTAAAAATATAAATATTGTACTCTATAGCAGGAGTCATGAGAAGATTTTGGAGGAGATGGTGTTGACTACAGTCTGAGTTTCGATACCTGTACATTATATAATAGTGATAAGGACGCTATTGAAGCTGCAAAACACCAGGCAATGATGAATTGTTTCCTATTAATAATTTCAAGCCACAAAAAGAAAACGGTCAGGCTTTTGAAGTGCCATAGAGGCGAACGGTACAGAGGCACAGGCGAAAATTCTAGAAAGACAAAAACGAATAAGTGCGGCTGCAATTTTGAGATCAAAGTAAAAAAGGTGTCCGGCGCTCCATACTGGAGGATCTGTAGATGTAGCAATGAAGAGAAAGGCTACCATAACCATACATTTGCTGTGTATCCTGAGGGTCATCGCCAGTTAAGCGGCCTCAACGCTTCATCTAAGAAAATTGTTCATGATATGACGGACGCTCAGGTGGCCCCGGCAAAAATTATGGCCGCACTGAAGGAAAAGAATCCGGGAGACAACGTTCATGTGCGACAGGTATATATATTTATATCTTGTAATATATGTTTTAATTAACTTTTTGAAGTTAATTATGATAATAAGTAATTTTTTATATGTAAAAGTTATTGTAATAATTAATAAAATTTATTATATTTACTAATGTATTATTACTGTGATAGTTAAAAAAATTTTTATCAAATTAATCGCATTAATATACTTTTTTATTTATTAACATAATATTTTTTTTAAAAATTATAATAATCTTTATAATTAACGCTAATCGGTGACAGGTATATAACTATATAGATAAGCTACGGAAAGAGAGTTTCGACGGTAGAGACGTTCCTTCCCAGCTTATGCATTTAGTCGTGAGCAGCGAGTATACACTTTATGCAGAATCCGATCCGAACACGAAAGCGTTGACGCATATATTCATGGCCCATCCTGCGTCGGTCAATCTATTCCAGACATATCACTGGTATGTCAGCATAGATTTCACGTATAAAACCAACAGGTATGTTACTTTATAAATACTTTATTAGTATGAATCTTAAATAGTGTGTTTGATTAAGCTAACTTTTATTTGATTATATTTTTTGGTCTTCTTGGTCTCATTTGCACAGGTACAAGATGCCGTTGGTCGAGATGATTGGGATGACACCGTGCAACCAGAACTTTCTAATTGCGTCGCTCATCAGGGACGAGAAAGAGGCCAGTTACGACTGGGTTCTAGAGAAGTTAAGACTACTGATAGGCCAAGACGTATATCCTTATGTTGTTGTCAGTGACAGAGAGTTGAGTTTACTCACTCCTATTCAGAGGCATTTTCCTGAATCAGCCCACTTACTCTGCACGTGGCACATCAACAAGGATGTGGAAGACAAAGCCTACAAACTATTTGGGAAGAGTAAAAAATTCTCGGAGATTTTCAGGCACAGTACGTGGAAGGCGATTGCAGAGGCCAGTACGTTCAATGCCTACACCGATGTCGTTGCCGAGCTGCACGCAAAATATTCGAAGTCTCCAGAGGTGATACGGTATGTGGAGGGCACATGGTTAGGGCACCGCGAGAAGTTTGTGAAGGCTTGGACCTACCGAGTGACACATTTTGGAAACACAACTTCCTGTAGGGTGGAGAGTGCCCACTCTATGTTGAAGGAGTGGCTTCAGACGTCCACCGGCGCGCTCGATACAATTTGGCAGAAGATTAATAAGCACATCGATAATCAAGTTACTGAAATCAAGAACGTACTGCAATTTTTAAATGCGTTATTATATTACTGCATTAATTAATTATAATCTAACGTTATGTAACGTATTATCAGGACGGCGCTTGAGACCTCGAGATCTAAGAAGAATACACGGTATAAAGGAATCCTTTTCGCTAGCGTGATACTGAAGGTCTCGCATTACTGTCTGAGTTTATTGGACACTAAGCTTACGAGGATGCACGACTTGGACGCCAATGTTTACACTAGCTGCGGCTGTGTATTGCAGCTCACTCATGGACTTCCTTGTGCCTGTCTGCTCCGCAACGCAGTTGATTTCAACATTCCGATTGATCTCGGAATGATTCACCAGTTCTGGAGAACGCTACAGATATTAGAGCCAGGTAATTTAAGGTTAATGTTTTATTTATAATTTTCTATTAAAATACATTATTTGGTTTAATTCATTGACTTTTTTATCGTATACTTGTAGGGACTGGTCATCAGAGCCAGGCGAGCCAGGCTGCATGGTCAGATGTGGAGTTCTTTCAGGCGCTTGTGAGTGAGGTTGAAACCATCTGCTTTTGAATACAACGATAGATCGCGAGGTCGGAAATCGAGCCGTACAACCACTTCTTCGCGTGGACAGACAAGTTCGTCTTCTCAACTGTCACAAGGGGAAGCAGGTCATACATTTTCTTTTTTAAATATGGCTGAGCATTAATTAAAGTATTTATATGATTATATAAATTGTGACGTGAAATTATTATGATATTTATTGCAGAGTTTAGACCGACAAATATATTTGGATTTTCAATGTGGCAAAATATCCCCTGGCATATGTTGGACTACATAGTGAGTTACCTGAATGTGGATGCGGATGGTAACTGCGGATTTCGGGTCATCGCGAGTCACGTGTATGGTCACCAGAATTACTGGGCAGATGCAAGAGAAAGCATTGCGAAGGAGGTCGACAGCCACCGTGAATTGTACGAGTACATTTATTTTAGAGATGTTGACGCCAGACTCTGTCGCGTAAGGTGGGCCAACGGCCCTTGTAGACGGGTTCACTGGTTCGAAGTTCCGCAGGACCTCTACGCCGTTGCGACCCTATTTAATGCGGTTGTCGTTCTGTTGATCTCTGGTCCGCAGGGTGGGTAGCACGACTTATTCAGCACCACAGTGTTGCCTCTCAGTGCACGATCATCGGCTAGAGGACCATGTCGTGAGATTGCCATATGCCATCTTGGTGCCGTAGCACACTACATTCGTTTAGATTTGACTCCTGAATGTCCATTACC